ATAATACAAGTCAAGAAATGATTTAGTATTTTGTTGGGTAAACTTTTGCTTTAATAACGGCCTTAATTCTTCGTGGCATGCTATAGACTAAATTCTTTAGTAAGTCAACGTCCTTCACCAGATTTGTCCAGCATTTCTTTAATTCGTGAAAAAGTTCATCTTGTGTGTTAACTTTCCTATTACGGGCACGTTTGTCCATTATGGCCCAAAGGTTTTCAAGTTAAGGGTTTTGGGTTAAGATCTGAACTCTGACTAGGGCACTGGAAGAGTTCCAATTTACACACACACACACACACACACACACACACACACACACACACACACACACAGAGAGAGAGAGAGAGAGAGAGAGAAGAGAATTAATACAAGTAAAAGGTTTGTCATTTAGCTGATTGATGCTACATTCGACATCTCGACTCTAGAGTTTCGCAGACGGATTCTCCGGGAATCACTCCGTCCTCTCGTCTGGAGTCGAGATGCCGAAGTTAGCATCAGTCAGCTAAGTAACAAACCTTTACTTGTATTATTATCTCTCTCTCTCTCTCTCTCTCTCTCTCTCTCTCTCTCTATATATATATATATATATATATATATATATATATATATATATATATAAGAAATAAACAAATGTTAACCTACTTATCCTCCGGATTTCGAGAAGCATCTATCTATCTATCTATCTATCTATCTATCTATCTATATATATATATATATATATATATATATATATGTAATTAAAATAGGATATAGAATACGGACAAAGTTTTAAGAAATTTGTCAAATGGAAAAAAACATTTCATTGAAACTAGATTTGATTACTCGTCTTGCCTTTCTAGGATTCATCAGTTTTCAAAATGAAAGAAAGAAATGCGTGTCTGTGTATTTGTATGCATGCTTAAATAATGAATCAGTCCTTTTTTTTCCTAAGCTAGCGTTTCTCGTGATTAAAGCAAAGAATGAAAACATATATATAGTTGACAAATATAAGCAGTTTGGACATAGGAATCAGCAGTGCATCGTTACTCTCCGTTGCACACTTTGACCGATCTTCAGACTGTTATGTGAATATCGCTTGAGGCGTAAAAATCTTCAGACCATGAAAATCGTAGTGAAGCGTGAAACCGATAGCCTCCATGCGATGTTGATTGCTATGTCCACTTTGTCATATGAACGCTCTATTTCCGATAACGAACACTCTTTTCTTATAAATATAAATTTTAAACCACACACACACACACACACACATGTGCTTCTGCGTCTGAGTGTGTGTGTGTGCGTGATAAAAATATCGTTTTAAAGTATGCTGTATTCATGGGTGCTCAATATCGGGAATAGAGCGTGTTTAAATAGACTGGTGGACAAAACAGCCTGTTTTATACATGAACGTAAAAATTGCGTTCAAGCATGAAAGAGACTATCGCCACTCGGCGTTGACCTCAGTGTCCACTCTTATATTCACACACACACACACACACACACACACATATATATATATATATATATATATATATGTAATTTACAAAGAATGGCGATATATTGTAAGAGCCTGAACGCAAATCTACCTTGGCTGAACTAGTGCTCAAGGGACTTTCCTGATTACAAAGATTAAAAGAGTAAATAATCCACTGAGACGAAACTGTCTGTAAAGTGCCTTGATCACTAGTTCAGCCAAGGTAAATTTGCGTCCAGATTCTTACCATATATAAACCATTCTTGGTAGATTTCTGTTGTCACTATGTGGGATAGTCAAGGACAAAGATGGACAGAAAATAATACTGAATACTGATGAATTTGGCTAGATTGAAACAAACAAATATTCTTTCAATATATATATATATATTTATATATATATATATATATATATGTGTGTGTGTGTGTGTGTGAAAAGTGTATATAAATATAAATAAATATATATATGTATAATTATTTATATATTATATGCGCGGTACTTATGTCATATCCGAAACTGACCACATATGTTTATATATGTATGAGTCCCGACGGACGACCAAGTATGTATGTGTCTGCATACATCGATATTTGCGTTAGTACGATGAATGACAAAACGACGAAGTTTCCCCCACCACTTCCACAATAACACCAATACTCGCAATCTACATAAACCCAAATTTTTAAAAAAATTAATCAGTTTATCTGACGATCGCTAAAGCGTGAAACCCAGGGTCACAAACTCACATCTATCCAACCAAAAATATATATATATATATATATATATATATATATATATATATATGGTGATATTTTTTTGACTCATCTATCATGAACTCTCCTATTCCCTGTTACCAGCGTACCGATTGGGATTCATTTTGTGATTTTTTAAAGACGCCGCTTAGAGCCAAATCTTTAAGCTGTCTATTGAGAACTGTGCCATTGAGGTTTCTTCTGTAAAAGCCAGTATCGCATCTTTTGTACCATCTTGGAAATAGAAGATGAAATTACAATATTCTCCTTGGTTCACCCCTGTCTGTTTAGCCCACAGGAATCACTTTCTTCCGGTTGTACTTAAGTGACAGTTCTGATCACAACTGACGCCTATCTGTGTCCGCTCGTAATAATAGTTAACGTGTCCTTCGTAAGTCTGTTTTCACTGGCAGAATGAGGCACCGTATATCTTCTAACACGTTTGGTTCTTGTCATTACTGGCGGCTCTGTAACAGTGTGCTATATAAGAATGAGACTTCTATCCCTTCTCTCGTAATTCAATTTGAGGTGTTATCATCTTCTGTTGATATGCTTTGCTCGTAAATTCTCTTCAAATCTGCAGTATTTTTGCCTGACTTTCAACTTAGAGCGGAGTCTCTACTGCTTAATATGCAGATAACTCTGTCCATAGTGTCTGCTACCGTATCTAATCTGGATCCCACAAAGCTTGCGGATTTGACAGTAATCCTAGAATAGTCCTAGAAATGTGCTCCTGAAATGGCAACTGTTCGCACTAAATTCTAGCTTCTAGTCTTCTAGCTATTAGTCTTCTAGAGGCTCTAATCAACTCTGAATTGGTTAAGAGTTCCTCATCATCATATGAAAGCGTATCTTCCCGACCTTGAACTCTTCCACCAATGAGGAGATGGGAATTTTCAGGTTTCCGGCATTGGTATACAGTCCCACTGTGGAGAAGCAGGAGTAGTGCCCCAAGCTACGTGCACAGGTTCTTGTTGATACACTGTTGTGTCTGCTGAATGCGAGTCAGTGTAATATATTCCTGCAACGGGCACAGAAGCCGGTTAGTGCCAAGCCTTCAGTTTGCCGGGGAGCTGGCTTCTGTCGATGGCTACAAGTTCATCTAGTGCCACTTTCTGCACCTCATTATCTCGATCAGTCAGTAGAATTTCATACAGCCGCCCGAAACTGCTCATTGGCTTCGCTGTGGCTGTCGGGATCATGTCACCCCTCAATGCAGAAGTGAATCTCCCTAACAGAGCCTCTGAGTAATGATAAGCTCTGGCTTATCTTGGCTTTAGCCTTCTTCCTCGCCCACGTGAAGAGCTTATGGTAGCGTTACAGAGGTTCATCGACCCTGAGTTTAGACGGGACCAGAATGGTGATGCCATCCATGAATGATCTGGAAGGAGGAAGGTCCATCTGTTCCTTAGTCTTCACTCCCTTTGCTGTGTCCACTGTACCCCAAAATACGAGTTGCTCTGAAATATTTCATTATGCTTTCCCCAACCTTATCAGGGAAACTGAAAAATTCGAGGGGCATTCGAATGAGCCCATGAGGGACTGATCTATATACATTCGCGAGATCAAGGCAAATTACATGAATCTCAATTTTATTTTGTTTGGCTGATAGGATTGAGTTCCGAACCATGTGTGAATGCTTCAGACAACCTTTTTGATAGCTGTGTTTATGCAATGGTTACCTAGTAGGAAGTCCGTCATACGACGGACAAGAACCCCCAAAATATCGCCCCTCTAGAGTAAGATGAGAGGGAAATCTGCAATAGCTTTTGAATTCTTTTCCCTAGGTATTCAAATGCCTTCCGTCCAGAACCCTTTTTTTCCATGCCCTCTGGAGGAGGATGGTGAGGTGCTTGAGGACGTTTGGACAATTCATATGTAACTTGTAGGACATTCCATGCACTACCGGCACGGGATTTGCGGACGAATTCCCGAATTTCCAGATTTATTCCGCTGGTATTAAACATGACTTCTTGCTCTTGGATCCTAGGACGATCATTCATTGGAGGAGGGATTGGAACATCTTTCCAAGCATCAGAATACATCATCCTCAGGTGGTTCTCGAGTTTCTCCGGCGGTATGTCGAGTTTGCCGCTCTTAGTCTCAGCGAACAGATTTTTAGCAAAAGCGTAAAAATTATTGGTGTGTCGCTTTTTCTTTCGACGTTTTCTTTGGTTTTCTGCTCTACAGATCACTAAGACCCTTTCTTTAATATCCTTAAGCAGGTCTTTAAGGTCTGCCCTCTCATTAATTGGAATTTCTTTGAGTCGGCGCATCAAAACTCTGCTCTTAGTTTACGCTTCTGAATCTCCTCTTGTAGTTGTCACATCAAACCACTCAAGACAAACCTTGAGCACAATTCTGCAGAAAGATCTGATCTGCTGGTTAATGGCTCCTTTAAATGGTTGGTGAGTATTAATAGGAGACGTTGAGAGATTCGACCAAGTAGCTCTCAGATTGCTTTTGTGTTACTGGATTCTTGGCTGCTGACGATCAGAAATGGGGATCCTGAACACTGCGGGTGTAATCCAGGTTTCATAATCCAATCATTCGACTTACATTACTCCAATAGGGGAATTGCGTTGCCTGCACCAGTGTACCTTATGGATAAGAAAACCTTGCGGGCTGTTGAATTTCCTGTCGCAATTACACGTGTATTCAAAGAACATGGAATAATTATATTTAATCAGTGCACTTTTTTCTCTTTTATTAAAACTTTTAGCACTTAAAAAAAATAATCCTTTTATTTTGTAACATTTTTCTATATTAAAATCGGTATATTCTCCGGTCATCGTCAGCTGATCTAATGCACGACACGATCTCTCTCTCTCTCTCTCTCTTTATCTATCTATCTATCTATCTATCTATCTATCTATCTATCTATCATGGGAGAGTTCAGTCTGTTCACACCTATCTATCTATCCATCTACGTCTGGGAGAATGATTGTTAATCTTACTGTTTATCTCTGTGTGTGGGTGTGTGGTTGTGTGTGTGTATTCGTGTGCAAGTGATTGTCTGTCTTTCTCTCTATATATCTCTATATACGTTCATGTAAATGATAATTTGTCTACCTGCCTGTGTGTCTGTCTGTCTATCTCTCTGTGTCTTTGTGATAGTGTGTCTTTTTATGTGCGGGAGCGTGTGTCTTTGTCTGTCGGTTTGTCTGCTCGTCTGTTTCTATCTATCTATCTATCTATCTATCTATCTATCTATCTATCTGTGTGTCTGCGTGTCATTATCTCTACGAGTGCTTGGTTATTCCCCTCTCTCTCTATCTGTGTATGCGAATGAGAATGTCTGCCTCCCCTCTCTTCTACTCTCTCTCTCTCTCTCTCTCTCTCTATATATATATATATATATATATATATATATGCATGTGAAAGTATCTCCGTCAGTCTGTTTATATCTATATCTATGTATATCTGCATGTGTAAATAGTGCTTTTTGTCTTAAAGGATGCAAATATGAACAGCTGTAAATGTCTCTCTCATTATCTTTCTCTCTCTCTCTCTCTCTTTCTCTGTGTACTGCCTATAAAAAGGTGTCTATATGATATATATGAATATAAATAAAGTAAGTATATATAGTATAGATATGATTTCTAATTGTGATTACAGTTTAGCCCGTGCATATCAATGTATCAGATTCTATGGTCGATATGACACAGTCTCCAAGTTCATCTATCATTTTCGTGGTAGGGAAATCAGCATTAGCATCAGTTCTAAGGATGCCTTCAGTTTTAAATCCCTGCGATGTCTTTGTTACATGGCCACCTCAGCCATAATGGGCTTTGTCGCTGTTGCCAACAAGTTTACTTTGAGCTGTTCTGAGAAAATGTCGACTAACTCACATATTCGAGCATTTTTTTTTTGCTTTTAAGAATATACAACTCTTTTATTTCTTGTCATCACTTTTTTTTTGTTTGACATATTTAATCAAGAACTTTGTCGACTCCATTAATAAGTCACATCATATGAAGATATCCGCCCCACCGCCAGTATCTGAGTTTTGAGAAAACAAATATTTAGGTTATATTTTGACACGGTGGCAGCAAGGGGGAGAAGGGGGAGAACAAGAAACAGTAAAAGAAAGAAAGAAAAACAAACAGAAAAAAAAGACTTTATACAAACAACATTTGTGGTTATGGTAATGGTAGCTGTTTCCTTACAAGGAAACATTCGGTATTCATTGACCGAGCAGCCAGTGTTACTTTTAGTTAAATTTTTCTCTTAAAATTACTTTTCAGGGAAATAAGTTTCTCAAGCTTACTATTATTAATCGTTCCAGTTAGAGGCTTTCTTCCTCACATTCGGTTTGAACGTGAAAAGGCCGAATATCATTTTCTATTTCAGTTGTTATATTCGCTGTTCATTCTAAAATGTTTTAGTTCTTTCCGTCATTGAAAGTCCTTTAGTGATTTCGTTTCTGTCATTTTGGAACAGCGCTTTCATTTTGATTCTGTAGTGCTAGACAAAAAGATTCAAATAAGATGATCACGTCTAAGTGTTATAGGCTTGTTTCGCTTGAAGCTAGGAAAAACATTAAATAAATTTCCGAAGCCAATTCTCAACTAGCAATCGGATAAATATTGATCATTGGGAAAAATTTTAATTATTTACAGTTTTTTTTTTTTTGAAATTAAAAAAAATCAAATATGACACCGAATGACACCAAACGAAAGAATTCTGATGAAGCTAAATAAATAGCGAAACATGCCAAATTCATAAAGATTTCCTACATGTTCCTTATTTTATCATTCTTCTCCCAAGAATTTTGATGCATTTCATCCATATTTTCAGCTCATTTTCTTCTATTTCTGCAACTTCCATCCTATCCACCATGTTTTTTTCTCTGAGTTCAGTTTCAGTTAATGTAATTCAAGCTAATTCTTGTTGGTTTTGTCACACGATCTCACACATGTTGACTGGCATCATTTTCAATTTTGTTTTCTATTTCAAATCCATCTTTCCAAAGAAAAGATTCAGCAAAAAGGTGAAATACTTGAAGAATTGATGAAGAATGATTGAAAAAAAAATTAGGAACTTTACGATGTCTTCTAATGTTACAGAGACATTGCATGTCCTAAAATATCAGAATCTGTGTCTTAATCTTTGCAATATATAGTGTCCTTTTTGGCACCTCTCTCTCTCTCTTTCTTTCTCTCTCTCTATGTATATATATATGTATGTTACATACATATACATGTATATTATATACATATAAATATATTATATATATATATATATATATATATGTAATTATTTATTTAAAAATATGATTCCATCGCTACATAATATGAATTGTATACTATATTATGCAATATATATTATATATTCTTTACATACAATATGTATATTACAAATTATTTACATTATTCAGACTGTTATCCCCATCTTCATTGCCATATTCATAATGTTTCGGCCAGTGTACGTTCAGGCCTTCTTCAGGTGATTGGAATTTCAAATCGAACCCTTTATTTCATCCACTGTGGTAGATTGTTCTAGTTGTATTATTTACCTAACGAGTTCTTTCCTATTTTCTATATATTTTTACACACACACACACACACACACACACACACACACACACACACACACACACACACACACACACACACGCACACACACACACACATATATATATATGTCCTTTTTGAGTTCTTGTTTTTATTGTTTTCTGATTTCTGCATAAAATTTAAAGCCTTTCCTAATGTTTTTTTCTCCATCACTCAATATAACAGTTTCTTTTGTAGGTTATTTCCATTGCAATTTTTATATGCCTGAAATTAAAAATATAGATATCAACAACTATACAATTTATATCTGTCTATATCTCTGAGATGAGGTATTATGCTTACTTACATTATTTACATTATTCAGAGGAATAATGTAAATCGAGGAAATAAAGGGATATCCGGAAGAGGCATGGTACATGGAACTATCATTGCATGCGTGTGTATATGCAAGTGTCATTGCATGTGTAGGTGTGCAATAATGGCATCCCAGATTTCTAGGAATCGGTTCTATAAAGGCAGGTAATCTTTAGGAACCTATTCTGCTTATTTTCTTTTCAAACTGAGAATGAAAACAAAACACCTGATATAGTATCAAAAAGAATTAAAGCATTTTGATAATTAAATATAAAACATTTATTTATTAAGATATTTTCAGATTGAAATTCTGTTCTCATCATCTTTCTGTTCAGAATTATGATGCTTTAGTGTCATCAGCTGTGTTATGGTTTCTTAGTCACATTTCAACTGAATCACTGCAGTCCCAAAGAGCCAATGGAAGACCTATCAAATTTATAACTAGAAGATTTGCAACATTTTTAACTTCAAGACTATTTCTTTTGTCAGAATAAATTATGTTTTGTCACAGAAAATCTTCTTTCAGACTCTGCAGAACTTACAGCAAGTAATTAATTATATTTTTAGCTATTATATATCGGCTATTAATATATAAGATTATTTTGGGATAATCCAACAACCAGTTTGCTAAGTTTTTATAATTTTAAGAATCAGTTTGTGCAAAACGATGTGAACCAGCAGGATACCATCAATGTGTGTGCATGTATTTGTATCTGTGTGTGTGTGTGTGTGTGTGTGTGTGTGCATGTATTTGTATCTGTGTGTGTGTGTGTGTGTGTATGTGTGTGAGTGTTTCATCTATAACATTCATAACTTTACCAGACTAAAGCTAAGTTATCTATAGCTTTAGTATGGTAGAGAGATCCATAGTGAATGGAAAAATTGTGCTTCTAGTTTCTAGTGTAGATTAGTCTGCCACAAGGCCACAATAAAGAGGTAACACACAGTGCAGATTGAATCCATTATATTTCTTAATTATTATTCAATGATAGATTAATCCAAATAAATGCAGCTAATGTCGTCGTTGATAACATTTTCTGCTTAATTCAGTCTTAGTTAAAATTAATCTTTGCCTATTGGCTGATGCGTGGATGGTACAATGATTGGTGATTCAGAAAGAGAAATTGAGGAGACAAGTTCAAATTTTGGCCTAGCTTGTTATCTTCATTTTTGTAGAAATACCCTTACAAAAGGTATGGATCCATCTCTTCTCCCCTATATATGGGTTAAATAGCAGAGTAACTAGTCTTTGAGAAGGACAACTCTGACTCCAAAACCAGCCTGAAGAGGGACAGTCACCGTCAGGCTGTTTTGACCTAGACACACCACTGCTGATATAGCTGCAGTACATGAAATGCTCTTATGAGCCAAATGAATTATAGGATTTGTGACATACTCTTATGAACCAAATGAATTATAGGATTTGTGACATACTCTTATGAGCCAAATGAATTATAGGATTTGTGACATACTCTTATGAGCCAAATGAATTATAGGATTTGTGACATACTCTTATGAACCAAATGAATTATAGAATTTGTGACATACTCTTATGAGCCAAATGAATTATAGGATTTGTGACATACTCTTACGAACCAAATGAATTATAGGATTTGTGACATACTCTTATGAACCAAATGAATTATAGGATTTGTGACATACTCTTATGAACCAAATGAATTATAGGATTTGTGACATATTCTTATGTGCCAAATGAATTATAGAATTTGTGACATACTCTTATGATCCAAATGGATTATAGGATTTGTGACATACTCTTATGAGCCAAATGAATTATAGGATTTGTGACATACTCTTATGAGCCAAATGAATTATAGGATTTGTGACATACTCTTATGAGCCAAATGAATTATAGGATTTGTGACATATTCTTATGTGCCAAATGAATTATAGGATTTGTGACATACTCTTATGAGCCAAATGAATTATAGGATTTATGATATGCTCTTATAAGCCAAATGAATTATAGGATTTGTGAAATGATTTGAATATTTAATAAAATACATTTATCTTTTTAAAAAGAGTTTTTGCTGACATTTCAAAAGGTATTTTAAAACATTAAATATTTTAACTGATTAACAAACCAAACTTGTAGGAAATAAGTAACTACCTCATCCACCTGGTATAATAATATTTTGTCATTTTTTTTTAACATTTCAAGAGTAATTAGTAAAGTTTGAATTTTATTTTTTGACATGAGTAATTCTCAATATACTTTAATTATTTCTTATCTGAGGTGTTATTATAGACACATTTTGGCCAAGTACAATTTGACCATCGTCAGGTGTCAATTATTAGGCTGATATGGGATATCTGTTGATTATTGTGTTATTTTGTCCCTGTGATATCCATTATTGGCTATTCCCACTGAATATACAACAGTTAGACATTCACACCCACT